GCAGACAGAACAGGATATAAGTAATAAGTCTTTAAAAAACAGAATGTTAATGCTAGTAATAGGACTTTTGGGGAGATGCAGACAGAAATGGCTCAGTGGTTAAGAGCACTTGTTGAGCTTACAGAAGACCTAGTTGCCAGTATCCACAAGGCAGCTCACAAACCACCAATAACTCCAGTTCCAAGGCATCTGATGGTTTTTTTTAATGCATGTGGTGCACTGATACACATGCAGGCAAACACTCATGCACATAAAATAAAAATAAATGCATCTTTTTTTTAAAAAAGGTCTTTTAAATATGCTTATAAGTGTACTGTGCAGGGGTATATGTATCTGAATGCAGGTGTGTATCTGTGCAGGGGTGTGTGTCTCTGAATGCCGGTGTGTATCTGTGTGGGAGTATATGTGTCTGAATGCAGATGTGTATATGTGTGGGGTATATATATCTGAAGGCAGGTGTGTATTTATGTGGGGTATATGTATCTGAGTGCAGGTGTGTATCTGTGTGGGGTCTATGTATCTGAACGCAAGGTGTGTATCTATGTGGAGTATATGTATTTGAATGCTAGTGTGTATCTGTGCTGGGTATATGTATCTGAATGCAGGTGTGTATTTATGTGGGGTATATGTATCTGAGTGCAGGTGTGTATCTGTGTGGGGTCTATGTATCTGAATGCAGGTGTGTATCTCTGTGGGTTATATGTATCTGAATGTAGGTGTGTATCTGTGTGGGGAGGCATATGTATCTGAATGCAGGTATGTATGGAAGCCTGAAGAGGACATTGACCTTCGTGAGCTGGAGTACTGGGAGATTGTGAGTCACCTGGCATGGGTGCTGGGAACTAAACTCAGACTCTTTTCACTGCTAAGCCATTTCTCTAGTCCCAAGATAATAGATCTTCACTGTGAGCACCATTCCATATCTACTGTTCTTCACATAAATGGAGAGTTGTGCCTCTTGACTCTTAGACAGACAGCTGTCAAACCTTTCCTTGTCCCTGGCGCTTGGCCCACAAGGCTGTCACTCCAGTCGCTCTTCTTCTGCTAACCAGCTTGACTACCATGTCTTCCTTCCTGCTTCCAACCCTTCACAGACCCCTCGAAGAAACCACACTCCATGTGCAAAGCACACTGTAACCAGGGCCTCTGAAGTACACTTGCTGCTGCTTCAGGAAGCCTTGCTCCAGGTATGACCGCCCAGGCAACTGTACTAGCTTTGGAAGCCCCCACTCAGGCAAGACAAGGGCATTGAATCCCCTGGAATTGGAGGTACAGGCAATTGTGAACCACCCAGGAGGTCGGGTTCTAGGAACCAAACATCCATCCTCTACAAGAGCAACTGCTATGCCATCTCTCTAGCACTGATCCTTCCCTTCCCCCAACTCTAGATACCCCTCTTTACTGTGGAGCTATTTTTACTCAGAACTAGAGGGAAAGTACCACATCTCCAATGACGCAGCAAAAAGCCTGGCATTAGTGCATATTCCAGGTTTGTGCTTGGTGCACATTCCGGGCTAGTCACTGGTGGAATTCGAAGCTGTGTGCATGAAGCCCTGCGATTGCTGAAATGGTGATCCATGCGGAAGCATACCATGCCCCTCTTCTAGAAGGCTGTGTAAGAAGGCTGCTTGCACTCTTCAGTTAGTAAGGGAAGCTTCTCTTATGTGCACTGATCCCTGGTGTCACAGCACTGGGCCCCATAAAGAAAAGAATGGTCTTTGAACAGAGGTCTTTGTTCTGGGCCTCAGAGTGGCTGGGCTGAACTTGGAGAACAGACAAAAGCCCAGGAGAGATGGTTAAGAGAACTTGTTATGTGATGGTGTTGAAAACCAGGACCCCCAAAAAAACACCGAGATATTGCAGGGTAGAATTCATTCACAGCCTGGCCTAACTTACAGTCCCCTCCTCGGGAGTAGAAGAATGTAAGTGGCCCTCAGCTGAACAGAGAGAAGCTTACATAGGTCTTTTACTGATATGATATCAAGATTCTAGAAACAGGTCTGGGACCGGAATAATAAGAGGAATGGAGACTTATTTTTTTTAGCAAATGAAGTAAATTATTTCACCCATATTAAAATCAACAGTGAGGCCGAAATGGGGGCGTCAGCCTCCAACAGTTGCCCTTCTAGAGGACCCACATTTGGTTGCTAGCATTACCTTGGGGAGTTCACAACTGCCTGGAACACAAGCTCCCAGGAGTCTGATGTTTTCTTCTGGCCTCAGAGAGAGAACTTACACACACATGACATTCACACACACACACACACACACACACACACACTCTCTCTCTCTCTCTCTCTCTCTCTCTCACACACACACACACTCACAAACACACACACACTCTCTCTCTCTCTCACACATACACACAAACACACATAGATACAAACACACACACACACTAAAAATAAACAAGCAAGTACAATTTTAACTAAAAAAGGCCCAGGGTTTCCACCCTGGTGACTGAAAAGTTTTTGTGCCCTGATAAACCTCTCCACCAATGCAAAAATCTAAATCAGACCGAATCAAACTGAATTAGAGAAAGCCCAGGTTTAATGGATACCAGCGCTTCCCAGGAGACAGGGAAGAAAGACCAGAAACCATGTGTTTGTTCTCTGGAGTACAGTTTTAAATGCCCTGTGAGAGTGGTCTTGAGCATTTCTGGGGAGGGCTTTCTTGGAGGTGGAGTCTGGACTGAGGCAACTCCCAGAGGAGGGGTCTTGGGATGGAACTTCTAAACTTTCCAGACTCATGCTAGAAGAGGGAACGAGAAAAGAAGAACATGGCTGCTCCGAGGTGAAGGAAAAAGTTCGAGCACATAGCCAGAGGCTGGGACATCTGGGAGAGTCCAGACTGAACATGGCCCTCAGCAGGGCCATGCGAGGAAAGGTCAGAGGGGAGAAGGGAGAGGAGCCACTAACCAAAAAGGGCAGTCTGGGTCTAGAGACTGGTCAAAATACTGGCAAAGACAAAATGACTAAGTTATTCACGGTCCAGAGGAGCTGGGGGCGGGGAAACCCGGCACTGGAGCAGTTTAAGGTAGGGGGCGGGGCATGCCAGCCACACCCTATAACAGGAGGGACTGAGGGATGCTGGGAGAACCTGGCAGCTAACATTGCTTTGATGTGTTAATGGACATCTCAGTGTTCAAAAGCCAAGCACCCCAGAACTCATTAGCTACAATGCTAGTCACCAGGTCAACACTCTAAGCAATAAACTTCACCTTTCAGCTTAGAGCAGCGAACCTCAGTTAAACGCTGGAGACTGAAGTCTCTAGTGTCCAAACCTCAGAGTTAATTTACCTCTAGGTTCAGAAGCCTAGCTTGTGATCGTCTTGACCTTAGGGCTGTCAATGCTGAATTCTGCTTCTGTCCATCCACAGTTTCCACCCAAATAAAACAAGAGAATGCAGCTGTGGTGGTTTGAAAGAAAATGGCTCCCGAAAGGAGTGTCACTCTATTAGGAGGCTTGGCCTTGTTGGAGGAAGTGTGCCACCATGCGGGTGGGCTCTTCTCCAGCACCTGCCTGCATAACTTGGAGGCTATGGATGTCAGGCCAACAAGGGCTATAAGGTGAGACCTTGTCTCGGAAGAAGGACAGTACTATAGCTGTAGGAAGAAGTTATGGGATCTGAGATACAGAGCAGAAAGGAGGGCTGGAGAAGAGCTGTTCCAGGAGAGAAGCACAAAAGGAAAGAGGAAAAAACAAACAAGAGGGTCAGACGCAGGACCCAGGCTCTTCTGGTTTTGGAGACAGGGGCTACATTCTGGGGAGTGTTATAGAAAGATGGATTGGAGGTTGTGGGGCTTGGGCAGGATGCTGTTCCCAGTCAGAGCAACTGGAAATGGGGGCCCTAGAGCATCTTCCAAATGCTAGGATCCCTTTCTCAGCAGGTCAGTCTTTGTCAAGGACAAGGAAGCAGGTCAGAGACACAGTGCCCTGCTATTATTTTTCCATTAACTTGACGGATCACTGACGCCTTTTGAAAACCACTGAGTCAGAGTGTAAATACTGGCACTGGTTTCCACAGTACCAACTGCAGGAGCAGGAAGGTTTCCGTAAAGACCCAGAGCCAATGGAACGCTGTGGAATCAGGGAATCACTAGAATAATTCAGCAAAATTGAGATATCTGGGTATCTTTGAGGGTCAGAGATGACCCCGGCGAAGCCTGTTTGATGGATGGCTCTGAGTAAGATTTCTATTAGCCTCAAGATAGGGCTGGTGCTGAATCCCAAAGTGGAAATGATGGGTACCAGCCTAGGTTTTTGTTGCTGCTGTTTGTTTCTAGGTTTGTCTTCTTGTGCTTTTGTAAATTTTCAAGGAGAATGTTTGCATTCTTTCTTTCTTTCTCTTTTTTCTTTTGCTTTCTTTCTTAAAAAAAAGATTTATTCATTTGTGTATGTGAGTGCTTTATTTACATGTATGCATGCATGCCAGAAGAGGACATCAGATCCCACTATGGATGGTTGGTTGCTGAGACTCAGGGTCTCCAGAAGAGCAGCCAGTGGTCTTAGCCACTGAGCCATCTCTTCAGCCCCATTTCTACTTGAATTCCCTCCAGCTCTGATTTGTTCATTCATCAAATTATTTGCTGAACACCTACCATGTCCCAGAGACTGTAATAGAAACAGAAACTAGTAGGACAAAGGTCAGTGAGAGGAGGTTGCCTTGAGGGAGATCCGAGTTTGGGGATAAGTATAAGACAGTGAATGATATTCACTGTGTGTTATGGCCCTCTGTTGGAATTAATCTCTCTGAAACTCTGTGAGTTAGAAACTGCAATAACCTTCAGTTCAAAGAAGAAGAAACAAAGCCAGAGAGACCTTGAATAGCTTGCCAAAGGACTCACTTATTTGTATATGCAGCCTTAATTCAGGGATAAGCAAACTATTGAGAGACTAGATATGAATACACAATGGCCAGACAATGTTGGGTTCAATAGAAAGGGAGCTGAGACAAACCACTCTTCAGAAAATCTTTATTAACAGAGTTATTAGTGTCATACCATGGCAGTCATGATGGTGCCCTGAAGAGAGAGAGCCCTCAGGTACAGAAAGCAAAATTTCTGCATTTTATGGGTGGGAAGAGTTTTGCCTATGTTCCATGAATCACTACAAAGGAACAAAGTTACCCTTGGGTCTTGATATTGGGGTGTGAGGAGGACTAGACATGTTTCCAACTGTAAGAGGGACAGGATGGGTGATGGGGACCCTCCTTTAGCCAATGGCCTTTGAGAGGCTGGATCAGGTTGTGGAGTAACTTTAGGTACCAAAAAGTCACAGTCCCACCTGGATGTCAAACTCCATTCCTATTTTCTTGCTATAATCTATGAGTTCCCTTTAAATAAAGAAAGACCTTAGTATACCCTACTTGGAGCTAGCGTGGGATATTTGATTTGCATTCCCCTCATCGGACACATTCAGCTTCATCTGGTGCCCAACATGGGGCTGAGTCCACGCTTACCAGGACCATGCTCCCAGTGGCCCATCTGCCACTGTTTAGGAACCTGACTTCCTTGTCCGTGGCTTGCAATCCACATGCCGCTGCTTTTCCAGTTGGTGATCCCTGTGGTGCTTCTGCCACTGGTGGCACACAGTTCACAGCTTGCAACTGACGGAAAGCTTTGGGCTTCCTTCTCATTCTAACCCCCAACTCTCAGAATCACTTTAATTGTCCTTAATAACTGCTCTAATTTTGTTAAACAAAGCATATTTGTTGGTATCTATGTAGGCGATGGCAAACAATCCCAGAGACACCGGAGGGAGCATCTCCTCTGCATCCCTCCACCATATGGCTGCAACTGCGACACCTGCTGGACAATAAAGATTATTACACACACGCCAATTCACTGTAATTGCCTACAACCAGTTTTGGGTACCAGCTGCTCAAGATGGTTCCAACTTGGTTAACTGAAACGGTGTATCTTCTTATAATGTTCTGGCCAGAATTCCAAATAAAAGCTTCAGAAAAAAACTCTATTGACTACTCAGAGACCATTTTCAATTATACCAGACTTAAAACTTAACCATTGTTTAGTTTTACAGAATTCCATAAAAAGAACATTGCCCCCAAGACAGCTGGAAGTAATTTTAGAGGACAATGTCCCCTCTCCCAACAAAGTCTGTCCTCATGGATAGGGACATCATTTAGGGGTTGATATTACTGGTATAGAATTGGGGGTTTGGGTGAAAATTATGTAGGCTCTGGGATCTCTGGTAAAAAAGTGAAAATTGAATGGGATAATAGGTAAGCTCACACTAATAATAATAGTGAACAACTGAGTGAATAATTGTGAGCTATTATTTATAGACAATTTACATTGGTATACATTTATAGATTTTTGTATATTGATACAAATTCAAATTATATTCATTATATTGAATATACTCCTATTTCTGTTTACAATATTTGTACACCTATGCAAAATTATTTTGTCAGGCTGTATGCATGTATGCTTCTTCCTCCATTTAAGATGTTTTGTATATTGATACAATTTTAGGATATATTTATCATATTGCATTATACATTTCTACCTCCAATCCAAAATACTTATACATTGTTTACATTTTGAGGTCATTGTCCTCATTTACTGCACAGTTGTTTAAAGATTGTTTAATATTCTAATATGAAGTTTTAGTCTTTAAGTTATATACGTATTAAGTATTATAGGTCAATAGTCATTCATTTTGTCATACTTATAGTCAGACTAATTAAGTTTTTTTAGATACATAAAGATTGTATTCTGCATAGATAGGTAATCTCCAACCACTTCAAAGAACTGTAAAACATGCCATTTAAAATAACTTAGTGTTCTGTTGACATGAGACACAGTTGCTCCTGACAGCACTGATCTATTCCCAAGAGAATGTTGAACACCAAAGACACTCCACTTGGGGTTTTTTTTCTTGGCAAAACTGGCCTTTGGACAACGAACTGCCCATACCTCCACCACTGACAAAATGTATGGTTTCCAAACCAGATAAGCAGGATACAAGAAAAAAGACTGTCAAACCTTGCCAAGACAGAGTAAGGCAGTTTCGAAAAATTTTCCTGCCTCTGAAAATGGTCTGTCAGTTATCCTAGGTCTTAGCCAAAGTTGGTTGCTTCAACATTGCAAATGAGGCTTTGAGTGATTGCCCAGATAGTCAGTTGTCTCTGTCATCCACTGCCCATTTTGGAAGCTGCTTGATTGCATTTCCTGTCTACTCAAGTAATATCATCTTCCTTCTCAGGTGTTCGATGGGGTTGAAGTCATAGTTACTTTCCTCTTATAATTTAGCCAAGCCATTTCTAATACAAGACTTAGACTCCTTAAGACAGAATGGTTATTGAAGCTTTTAGCATATGTTCTTTGCTTAATATTGTTTATGGTGGTTGTAATTTTAAATCTTTATCCTTGATATCTGTTCTTATTGTATATAGTTTTGTGTTGGGTTTGAAACTCTCTTATTTAAACAGAAGGGGGAAGTGATGGGGAACCTCCTTCAGCCAATGGCCTCTGAGAGGCTGGATCAGGTTGAGGTGTGGCTTTGGGTACCAAAAGGTTGTGGTCCCACCCGCTCACCCCTCTTCTTCCCGTGTGTCACACCTGGATGTCAGACTCCATTCCTATTTCCTCACTGTGATTTTTGAGTTCCCTTTTAATAAAGAAAAAAATCTTAGTATACCCTATTCGGAGCTAGGATGATTTGATTAGTGTTCCCCACTTCTGACATGTTCAGTTTCAGGTGGAACTACAATGTTTTTTGTTTTTTTTAAGATTTATTTATTTATTTATTATGTATACAATGTATACAGTATTCTGCCTGAATGTATCCCTGAAGGCCAGAAGAGGGCACCAGATCTCATTATAGGTGGTTGTGAGCCATCATGTGGTTGCTGGGAATTGGACTCAGGACCTCTGGAAAAGCAGCCAATGCTCTTAACCGCTGAGTCATCTCTCCAGTCCCGGGGCTAAAAGGTTTTAGCAAGTTGTCCACTCACTGTGTGAAGAGGAGGCTTCAAAAGGGAGAGAAAAAGGCAGTTGAAGAGTCTATAACCTATAGACAATACACAAAATGTTCTCATGGTAGCACAGACCCATAACTCAGGCATTTAGGTGGTGGAGACATGAGACACAGGAAGTCTAAGTTAGCCTTGACTATGAATGGAGTTTACAGTCGGCTGGAGATACAAGAGACCTAGTCTAAAAAAATGAACACAAAGCTGGGCAATGGTGGCACACGCCTTTAATCCCAGAACTCAGGAGGCAGACACAGGTGGATCTCTGTGAGTATGAGGCCAGCCTGGTCTACAAGAGTTAGTTCCAAGACAGGCTCCAAAGCTACAGAGAAACCATGTCTCGAAAAACCAAAAACCAAAAACAAAAAATTCTTTTTTTTTTTTTTGGTCAGCTAGTAGCTAGCTCTGGCCCTCTGATTCAAAGCAAACTTTATTGTCAGAATGTGATCAAAATATTACACAACAGATGACCACTGTGTAGCAAGCTCTGCACAAATAGCTTTTGCTTGTTCTTATCAGTTGGTCTTTGTTTTTTTCCTACCACAAAGGACTACCTTAATTTCTTTTTTCTATTGCTACAATTAAAGACTTTAACAAAAGCAACTTAAGGGAGAAAGTTTATTCTGGCTCACAATTCAAGGGTGTACAGTCTATCATGGTGGGGGAAGTCAACGCAGGAGGAATTTGAAGCAGCTGGAAACCACAACCAGGAGAAAGAGAACAACAGATGCATGTTTCTCCTCAGCCTTTCTTTACTGACATAGTCTGGGATCCCTGGCAGGGAACTGTGTCACCCATAGTGGGCAGGCCTTCTCAACTCAATTAATTCAATCAAAATGCTCTCTGATACACATGTGCAAATCTCCCAGGGACTTCCAGATTCTGTCCAGTTGTGACTAACACAGACCATCACAAGGACTGACTAAAAATATGGTTAGTTCTTTAGATTCTACAATAGCCATCCTGACTACTCAACTCTGTCCATTTCTTTCCTTCCTTTTTCTCAACTCAGTGTTGTCACTCTTATACAACCCAGGATTCCCTGCCTAGGGAATGGTGCCACTCACAGTGAACAGGTCTTTAACAGGACCGAGATAATTTCCTGCAGGCATGCCCACAGATCAACCTGATCTAGATAGTTCCTCTTTGAGAGTCCCTTTCTGTGGAGGCCCAAAAATGTGAGACTATTTCCACCTTGCCTGATGGTCAGAGAGTTTGGAGGTTGCTCAAAATTGTTGAAAAGTGTAGTTATAAATCCTGACTCAGAGTGTGGTTACTTGATTCTTCTGACATTAGGATGGTTTATACAAGTAGATCTTTTCCATCCTGACAGATGGTCAGGATATGCAAAGTGTACATCTGCTCCTTCTTTTGTAAACCGAGGTTTCCTGGGGAATGGCTGCCTTCAGGATACTTGGTCTAGAGTGGTTTTACTGCCTAAACAACAGAATGCTAATGGTTTGGTGTCTCAAAGTGTTAAAGCAATTAACTGTTCAAGTTGTCCTTTGTGTCATGATAAAGAAGTCTTTTGTTGTCTTCTTCCCTATTTTGTATTGAGATATAAAAGCAATTATATAGAAAATTAAACATGGTCATTTCAGTATTCACTGGAACTTCCTCCTGGTACTATTCTATGGTTTCTGTTTATTTTAAATGTGCCTTCATATTCTATACTTATATTTCTGATCCCCACGCCCCTAGGCTGGCAAGAGGTGTTTTTTGTAGTGAGGGGCTGCAGGCAGGCCTGCTTTTCATCCCGCCCGGCTCCTGCACAACTAGCTTAGCCCCGGAAATAACAACACACAAATTGTATTCATTTAAACACTGCCTGGCCCATTATCTCTAGAGAGTTAGTTACTGACTAACTCTCATATCCTGATATTAACCCATTTCTAATAATCTGTATAGCACCACAAGGTGTGGCTTACCGGGAAAGATTCAGCATGTCTGACCTGGTGACTGGCTCCATGGCTTCTGCCTCATAGCCCTCTTCCCAGCATTCTGTTCTGTCTACTCCGCCTACCTAATTTTCTGTCCTATCAAAGGGCCAAGGCAGTCTCTTTATTGACCAATGAAAATAACACAATAGACAGATAACCCTCCTCCATCAGTTTTTGTTGAGCCTGGCCCCTGAAACCTTTCCAGATTACTCTAGATTGTGTCAAGGTGACAATTAAAGCCAATCATCAAAAATGTTTACCCCACCATACCTTCCTTGCCCCTCCCATTCATCTAACATAAACTCTTAAAAAAAATAAGTCATACTATAAAAGTTGAGCTTTTTGGGAAATGAAGTTTATCCATTTGAGCCACAGAGAGTTTTTAGCAGTTTACACAGGAATCTTCTATTTATTTATATTTTATTTATTTATTTATTGGTTTTTTTCAAGACAGGGTTTCTCTGTACCTTTGAAGCCTGTCCTGGAACTAGCTCTTGTGGACCAGGCTGGCCTCAGACTCACAGAGACCCACCTGCCTCTGCCTCCTGAGCGCTGGGATTAAAGGCATGCACCACCACTGCCTGACTTATTTATATTTTATATATGAGTGCAGTGCGTATATACACCCACATGTGTATATACACCTGCATGCCAGAAGAGAACATCAGATCCTATTATAGATAGTTGTGAACCACCATGTGGTTTCTGAGAACTGAACTCAGGACCTCTTGAAGAGCAGCCAGTGCTCTTAACCACTGAGCCATCTCTCCAGCCCCAGGAATCTTCCTGAAGTCTTGATTATGGCTTTCATTCAACTCTCTGTTTATCCTTGCTCCAGGGACATAGGCAGCAGTGGTGGGACTGTGTGAAGTCTCTGGGTAAACTCATAATATTCAAGATGGCCTGTAGATTGGCAAAGGATCTGGAACTTGTGGGGGCTCTTGTTCTTTCTATTGAAGCAGATGTCACTACCGTGACATGGTCTGTCACTTGTTTACTCTCATGTGCAAAGGAAAGTTTCTGCTCCAAATGACCTCCCCCTTATCATCTGTCTCTTTTCCCACAGGGGTCGGGTACCTGATCACTAAGCATGGTTCAACTGCAAAGAAGGCATTTAGAGTGAAAACTCTCTCCTCTGAGAATTCCACGGGGATCTGAAGTTGGAATATTTAGGTAGCTTTGAGCAAGTGGGATGGAAAGGAAAATGGTAAGAAATGAAGGCTTTGAGAGTAACTGAGATGATCTCATGGTCTGAACAGGGAGGGAAAGAAAGCAGAGCCCAGGGAGCTGGAGATGGGAAAATGGAAGGCTGGGGACAGAGGCTGTATTAGCCTGTATTTGGAGCTGGAGTTCAGGTTTGCTCCTTTTTAGCTCACAGATAAAGCACATAAATTTCCTTGGGACTCAATTTTAGTGAATTCCACACATTTGTTGAAAGCCTATTGTATAGGCGTTCAGGCTGTCTTGTAAAGGGAAGTCTGTGTAGGCTGTTTACATCTAATAGAAGATAAATCCGCCTGGTTCTGTATTCAGACAGCTCTTTATCCACCTACTTCAACTGCTAACTTCAACCGCATTGTTAAGGAGAACCTAAATATCTATCCACAATTACAGCTCCCGTTCTCTTTAGCCAGCATTCCCACATCTCTATTAGCTACTCTTCTGTTATTGTGATAGAATATCCCCCCCCCCAAAACAAAGCAGGGGAGAAAGGGTTTATTTTGGGCTTATGGTTGCAGAGGATACAGTCCACCATGAAGGGGAAGACCTGGCAGCAGGGGCATGAAGTCATCTTTGTACTCAGGAAACAGAGGGATAATGGGGGTTGGAGCCATGCTCTAGAACCTCAAGGCCTACAGACTGGAGAGTTGGCTCAGAGGTGAAGAGTGCTGGCTAGTTTTCCAGAGGACCTGGGGCACATTCCCAGAACTTGCATAGTGACCATTGCTGTTTGACAAAGTTCCAGCCTTTCAACACTGCAGACTGTAGAACTTTAAACTGAGGCCTCTCAGTAGTTATGCTCCGCCCTCCCCTGGGAACCAAGGACCTAACAACTACACATGCATGTACTAAAATGTTGGGAATTTTCCATCTCCCTGAGTCCTTGTGAGTGTTCTCCAAATAGAGCTCCATTCCTGAAATTGGGACAAGATAACCCACAGATGTCCACAGATGTCTTGATTCAGTCCTTGGGAAAGGTGCAAGGTAACCTTCAAATGTTTCCTCTTACCTAATCTGATCTGGCAACTGCTCTCCAACCAATTATTGGTAATAACCCTTTAAATAAGCCAATGATAATAGTTAAAGAACAACCTCCAGACTCCCCCTTGTTTCTGTGGCTTTTTGCTTTAAGTAACCTGCACCAGCCATTAGGGATCTTTCTGGCTTCTCAAATACTGAAAGACCCTGTCATGACAGAATTAATAAAATACTCATGCTTTTACATCAACTGTGGTGTGAGAGATGGTCTCTTGGGGTGACTTCTCCTGGTAGTTGGACTCCCAAGTGTAAGACTTTAAGACAATTCTGAAGCCATTTCTGACAATTCTGAACCCTCTCAGCCTCCATGCCATAGTGCTTACCCTCCTCCCCTGGGAACCAAGGACCTAACAGCTACACATGCATGTATGTTCTCCAGAAATTGGGGCAAGATAACCTTTAAGATGTTGACTCAGTTCCTGAACAATTACCCATACACGTATATTTTGATTCAATCCCCTGGGAAATGGGGTCAAAATCACCTCTTACTTCATCTGATCTGGCAACAGCTCTCCAGCCAATTATTGGTAATAGCCCTTTCGAATAAACCAATCATAATGGTCAAAGAACAATCCCCTTTGCTTCTGTGGCCTTCTCCTTTAAAAGTAGCCTGTACCAGCTATTCGAGGTCTCTCGGCTTCCTGAATGCTGAGGGACCCTGTTATGACAGAACTAATAAAATCCTCATGCTTTTGCATCAGCTGTGGTGTGAGATGTGGTCTCTGGGGGCGACTCTTCCTCAGTGTTTGGACTCCAGGGTCCAACATAGGGTCCCACAAGACCACACTTCTCCAGCACCTTTTTATTCTCATTTTTGATGACTCTCTCTGCTATTCTCTCTGCTATTCTTCCCTTTGCCTTTGGGAAGTCATGTGCCAGCTTTGGTGAAAGGATAAAAATGCATACAATGGTGGCCCTTTCTAAGCAAAATAATTCTCCAGAAAAAAAAAATCCCCATCAAGCCAGGCAGGGGCAGTGCACGCCTTTAATCCCAGCACTCGGGAGGAAGAGACAGGTGGATCTCTGTGAGTTCAAAGCCAGCCTGGTCTACAAAGCTTGTTCCAGGGCAGCCAGGGCTAAACAGAAAAACCTTGTCTCAAAAAATGAAACAAAGCAAAAAACAAAGCAAAAATAATACCCACACCAGGGAACCAGGAATTCCCTGGTCTCCTCCTAATTACACCAAGAATAGGAAAGTTGGAGGTTTACTAGACACACCTGATCCCAAGGATGAAATGCCTACAATTCAGATCCAGAGCCTGAGGCTTAATAGGTAAGAGTTCAGTTAATAAACACAGAGAAATCAAAATTGTATGGTATAATGAGAAAGACTAAGACATCAGGACCTTCCCTTTTAGAAGTGTGTGAGGGGAACAGGTCCATACAGGAAGGCTAAGAAACTGTAGTACAGAGTCTGCTCACCAGAAATCCTCTTCCCAAAGTCAAGCATTTGGATAATGGCCTCCATTTCCCTTGGGAGCTAGAGGAAAGTCCCTGTTTGATAGAGCAAATTCTCATCTCCAGCAAGGGGAACTTGTGGCCCTTCCCTTGATATTGGTGCCAATTGTCAAGGTCAGTGCTAGCTACCTCAATTGATCTCAAGCCACGGCCAAGTTCACAGCCCCCTTGTGTCCCATTTATTCCTACACAACTATATAGTACTAAAGGAGTAATCTTTTCTCAGTTAAATGCTGTTGGTAGCCAATTGGATTCACTCTCAGATCAGGTCTCCGGCAACAAGTGTCTGTAATTTTAGCCTCGAGTCCAGTAACCTCTTCTGGCTTCTGTGGGCACTGTGTACAGGGTGCATCGATATATATTCAGGCAAAACATCTATATATGTAAAACAAAATTTAAATAAAATTTTAAAAACAAAACAAAATCTCTCAAGGCCTGCTCCCATTGGCATTCCTCCTCCAGCAAGGCCTTGTCTCACAGTACAGCTGTCATTTTTAAGGTGTGTGCTGTATCTGCATGTATGTGTCCTGTATACATATATACCTGTGATACATTTTAGTTCATACGATACAAATTATCCAACAGATTAACAATACCTAACCGCAGATCCCATGTACCTAATACATACAACTATTTTTCCTTCCCATATCAAGTTGAGAACTTCCACCTCTTCACTCAAAGAAAGCACTTTACCACTTCCTTTGGTCATAACTGTAGGCCCATATTTTCTACATGGTGTGATAGTTAAGTTCTTGGGCCATCATTGGTTGAACTTCCACCTTAATTTATCTTGGGGAATAAAAGGTATTTGAAAATAAACATGGGTGATCCTCAGGAGTGAATGAAACCTGAGACTCCCTTCCGATATTGCTCTGTGAACTGTGTCTCAGTTATTCCCGTGCCTCCACGCTGGTCCAGAGAGGGAGAAGTAGTTTATGTTGGGGCATTGGACCCCGACCATAACCAATGGAACCATTGCTATTCTTGTAATTTGAGATCAACAGTAAGTAAAATACCTGCATCTTTTATCTGAGATAACACCACACAGCACTATGATGCTGAAATAGCCTTGAGGTTTCAATTGCTGTGAAGAGACACCATGACTGCAGCAACTCTATTCAGGAAAACATTTCATTGAGGGGCTCACTTCCAGTTTCAGATGGCAGTTCGTTAGCATCTTGGTGGGGAGCAAGACGGCATGCAGGCAGACGTGGAGGAATAGTTGAGAGTCCTACATTTTGTAGGCAATAGGAAGTTGACTGACTGAAGTTTCTGTACCCCATAAGCCTCTACGCCGATGAAGCAATCTAAATCAGACCAAATCAAACCAAATTAGAAAAAGCCCAGGTTTAATGGGTAAAATGCTCCCAGATGATTTCCCAGCCCCCCAGAGAGGAGAGAAGGGAGAGAGACCAAAAAACCATGTGTCTGTTTTCTGGGGGCAGTTTGCACACCCTGTGGGAGTGGTCTTGAGCATCTCTGAGGGAGGGGTAGCCATTTGGTGGGCTTTCTGAGATGTAGCAGGGTTTTGAGAGAGATAGGGGAGGGAGTTTAGGGTGGAGTTTCCACCAGAACATTCCAGACTCTTTGGGTATATGGATGCTAGGGGTGGCATGGACCGTCCATGAAACTTCACAGACAAACACACTGGGGGAGCTTGAGCAAAAGAGACCTCAAAGTGTGCCCCCACAGTGACACACTTCTTCCAACAAGGCCACACCTCCTAATAGTGCCACGCCCTTTGGGGCCATTTTCTTTCAAGCCCCCACAGTAATCACCAGTGGGCAGACTGCACTGTAGACAGGGGTGACAGGCTGGCTCATATCCTGAACAGTATGGAATGGCATAGAGAGATCCACCACAACACTCAGGTTCAAAAAGCACAATTTAAAAGTTTATAAGTTGTGCTGTCCTGGTGGTGTGACCCTGAACTTGTGCTGGTCCTGGTCATGTGACCCGGAACTTTCAGCTGCTCTGAAGGGTAAGTAGGGGGTTTGCTAAGCCCAGAAGTTTAAGGCTAGCTTCAGGAATATAGTGAGGCCCTATCTCAAAAACATGAAACATGCAGGGCATGGTGGTGCATGCTGGTGATCCCAGCACTGAAGATTGACTGAGACAGCAAGGCTGCTGTGATTATTTTGAAACCAGCCTAGGCTACAGAGTGAGACCTTGTCAAAGAAAGACAGAAAGAGAAAGAGAGAGAGAGACAGAGATGTAGCGCGACGGGCCGGCTTGTTGGGGTACCTGTCCCGCCTGGTACCCCACAACTGGCAAGCCCCAAGGAAAAACCACACACAAGACTCCATAAGATTATAAAACTGATTGGCCTATTAGGTCAGGCTACTTATTAGTTCTTATAATTTATGTTACCCCATTATCCTTATCTACGTTAGCACACGGCTCAGTACCTTTCTCAGCTGGGCAGCTTACATCTTTCCTCTCCGGTGGTCTGGGCAGAACTGCGGAGGGAGCTTCCTGTTTTCCCAGAATACTCCCAGTCTCTTTGCTCCACCCCTACTTCTTGTCTGGCTTTCCCGCCTATACTGCCTGCATGGTCAATCAGCGTTTTATTAAAATATAATTGACAGAATACAGACAATTCTCCCACACCACTTCCCCTTCTTTTTTTAAAAAACAAAGGAAAATATCCATCGTCCATTTTTTGGGAATGTGGGCGTAGTATTTCAGGCTACTTCCTGCTGGTTGGGGGCGCTGATAATCTTATGGAGACCTAAAGAAAATTTAGAGTTATAATCAAGTCCTGACTGGAGTATCCTGTGAGTCTTGATCATCTCAGGCAGCAGTCTTGAATCTATTCTGGATGTAGAATTCAGATATCTGGGCCATCTGTTCCTGTCGGAGATTTCTCAGGTGGCCTTCCTTGATCATACTGAATTTTTCAGAATGAATCCACAACCTCTCATTTTCTGTGGAAACAAAAGCAAAATCTCTTCTCCAAAGTAACACACCTTTTGACTTCAGTTTTGAAGCCAAAGTATTTTCAAAATATCTATCTTGGGTTAGTTCAGCAGCATTTATAAACAAAAGTCTTTTAGCAGCTGTTGCTCCTTCCTCAGCATTCAAACAATTCAAAGAGAGCATAATAGCATACAGTATCAAGATTCTCTGTGTATTTTCCATCTTTATGCAGCTTTATTTCAACCTCTCTTTCTTTTAATTTTACTTTTAACTTTTGGCTTTTTGAGACAGGTTCTCTGTATATATCTTTGTCCTGGAATAACTCTGTAGACCAGGCTGTCCTTGAACTCACAGAGATCCCTCTGTCTCTGCCTCCCCAATGCTGGGATTAAAGGCATGTGCTACCACACCTTGAACTCACAGAGATCTGTCTCTGCCTCCCAGGCATTGGGATTAAAGGTGTGTACTACCACACCTTGAAGTCACAGAGGTCAATCTCTACCTCTGTCCCTTGAAGTCACAGAGGTCAATATGCCTCTGCCTCCCAGGCATTGGGATTAAAGGTGTGTACCACCACACCCTATATCTCCCTTTCTTTCTTTTTAGACAAAGAAACAGAGAGAAAAGAAGACAGCGATCTAGTCTAGCAAGCAGAGCACTCACCAGACATATACAGGGCCCTGGGTTTCAGCACTACAAGAAAAAAACCATGAAACTTATAAATCACTTATTTTTGGGCTTTTAATTTTTTTATCTTTAGTTCATGATGGACCGCAAATAACTGAAACCATGCTACTGTACACACTTAGGAATGGGAAGCCACCATAGGGGCTGGGGGAAGGTTTACCATGTAGTCTATGGGAGTACGTGCTGTATCCCCCGCTTTGCTATTTTTAGGCAGCTGGCCTCTCACTCGCTCTGCAGCTGGCACTGGCCTTCAGCATCTATCCATCTGCCCCCGTGCGCTCTACCACATGTCTGCTTTATTAATGTCATTTCATAAACAGAAGTTTCCAATTTTTAGGAAGTCAACATTTATCAACTTCCTTTATGTTTACTGCTTTCTTTCCTTCTTTAAAAAAATTGTTTTATTTTTAAGTATGTATGGGGGGCGGGGTGGGGGACTGGAGAGATGGCTCAGCAGTTAAGAGCACTGACTGTCCCAGAGGACTCTGGTTCAATTCCCAGCACCCACAAGTTAGCTCACAACTGTCTGTAATTCTAGTTCCAGGGTACCCGACTCCCGAATGTAGGCAAAACACCAACGTGCATAAATGTGTGTGTGTGTGTGTGTGTGTGTGTGTGTGTGTGTGTCTGCCTGCCTGCAGGTATTCATAAAGGCCAGAAGCATCAGATGCTCCTGCAGGTTGTGAGCTGCCTTCTGTGAGCATGAAAATGGTCTCCGGCTCCAGCCACTACTGTCTGAATCCTGTCTCCGAAATATTTATCTAGTTTAAGAGCATGAGGATTTTCTCCTAGAAAATAGGACACACTAGTTTTCTATTTAGACCTGTTTAGGTTCATGAACTATCTCAACTGATGTTTATGTGTGATGATGACTCAGCATCCTCCTCACCCCATGTTTCCCTTCCCTCTTGCTTTGCTTTGCTTTGCTCTTTTTGTCAGAAATCAGTTGCCCACTCTCCATCTTGAAGCCTCATCCCCCTCGGGCCTCTCTATGATGTCTGTTTCTCTACTGAGATCCCGTGCTTGTTTGTTCTCTGCGTTTATATCCTTCTTCTACACCTCTAACTGATTATTCAGTTAGAATAGCATTTGAAAGTCTGCTGTGCTGGTTATTGACCTATGGCGTCTCAGTGCTGAATCAACATTCCGGGCTTGTCCCTGTGACATTGACCGTGATCCTTTAAGCTGCTGTTTCTGCAGTAACCACAGTGTTAATCCTCGGTGGCAGCGTGGAGGGACTTTGAAGGAACACGGGTTTTTTTTTTCCTGGATCCAACACTTCCCTTTTTGTCTTATTGCTGACTCCCGACACTGTCCAAAGTTCCTTGGCAAGTTGTGAGCTTGGTTTCAGCCCAGTGACTACATCACTGTGGCCATCTTGGTAAGAATGGACTCTGTATCTTGGGTCTCAGATGCCCCATGTTAAAGACAGAATAATTTTTGTTTTTATTTGTTTGTTTGTTTGTTTGTTTGGTTGGTTGGTTTTTCAAGACAGGATTTCTTTGTATAGCTTTGGCTGTCCTGGGACAGTAGCTCTGTAGACCAGACTAGCCTCAAATTTACAGAGATCCACCTGCCTCTGCCTCCCAAATCCTGGGATTAGAGGCCACCACCCAGCAAGACAGAATGTTTAAAGAGAAGTGAATCTGCAGGCTGTTCTAATAGGAGGTGAAGCTTTCCATCCTACCAGGAAGTGAGTTTCTGAGGTCTCCCCTCAGACAGGTCATATATAACAGGTCTGAACATGTGCACCTTCTGGCACCTCTTTTCAGCCCCTGGCCCTACAGCAGAAGCTCCTCATTGGGTCTTAGGGAGTCTCACCAAGAGTCTTACTCAAGCTCAGTTCAGCCTCCAGTCAAGGACAGAAAGGTCCTTGTGGACTCATGGACATGTCTCCTCTGTGTCACTTCTCTTTGGTGTTTGGTCTCACAGGCTCCAGCCTACTCAGTGGTCCTGTGATCTGCTCTCTACCTCCCCAGCTCGGCAAGCCAACATTTGTGTTTGAAGTTCACTTCCTGCCTGCTGTTCTAGCAAGGCCCTAGAGGGGGCTGACCTCATGTATTCCAGTACTCTCTAGGATCGGAGCCCAGTGCTTCTTGTTGCTGTAGGCATCTAGTCTGGTTTAATACTTGCTTGGAGCAGGAAAGCTGCAGATTGACACCAGTTATCCCAATGGTGGCTGGTCTTGTTGTCTGGTGAGAGAGTAGATGTCAGACATTACATAAGCAGTCAGATTAAAAAGCCAGTGCAACATTCAGAAATCATGTCAGGTCAAAAGCTGTGTTAGTCTAGAGAAGTATCTCGGCGACTAAGAGCACTGACTGCTCTTCCGGATGACCCAGGTTCAGTTCACGGCACCCACATGGCAACTTATAAATGTCTAGAATGACTTATTTATATCTCTAGCCCTATGGGATCCAGAGTCCTCTTCTGGTGTGCAGACAGACATGCAGTCATGTACAGACATACTCGCAGTCATGTGCAGACATACATGCAGTCAAGACGCCGCTACTCATAAATGATTAAAAAAGAAAGTTGGTCCAAACGGACCAAAGACCTCAACATAAAGCCCACCACACTGAACCTCACAGAAGAAAAAGTGGGGAGAACACTTGAACGCATTGGCACAGGGAACCACTTCCTAAGTATAACCCCAGCAGCACAGACACTGAGAGAAACAATTATTAAATGGGTCCTCCTGAAACTGGAAAGCTTCTGTAAGGAAAATGACATGGTCAACAAGACAAAATGTCAGCCTACAGAATGGGAAAAGATCTTCACTAACCCCACATCAGACAGAGGGCTGATTTCCAAAATATACAAAGAACTCAAGAAATTGGACACCAAAAGATCACATAATCCAATAAAAAAAAAATGGAGTACAGACCTAAACAGAGAACTCTCAACAGAGGAATCTAAAATGGCTGAAAAACACTGAAGGAAATGTTCAGCATCCTTAGTCATCAGAGAAATGCAAATCAAAACAACTCTGAGATTCCATCTTACACCTGAAAAATGGCCAAGATCAAAAACACTGATGACAACTTATGCTGGAGAGGTTGTAGGGAAAAGGGAATACTTCTGCATTGCTGGTGGGAATGCAAGTTGGTACAACCCCTTTGGATGTCAGTGTGGCGATTTCTCAGAAAATTAGGAAACAACCTTCCTCAAGACCCAGTAATACTACTTCTGGATATATATCCAAAGGATGCTCAATCGTGCCACAAGGACATGTGCTCAACTATGTTCATAGCAGCTTTGTGTGTCATAGCCAGAACCTGGAAACAAACTAAATGCCCCTTGACTGAAGAATGGTTAAGGAAAATGTAGTACATGCACACAATGGAGTACTACACAGCAGAAAAAAATGACATCTTAAATTTTGCAGAAAAATGAATGGAGCTAGAAAACATTATTTTGAGTGAGGTAACCCAGACACAGAAAGACAATTATTACATGTACTCACTCATAGGTGGTTTTTAAACGTAAAGCAAAGAAAGCCAGCCTACAAACCACAATCCCAGAGAACTTAGACAACATTGCGGACACTAAGAGAGACTTAAATAAATCTAATCTACATGGGAAGTAGAAAGTAGAAAAAGACAAGATCTCCTGAGTAAAAAGGGAACATGGGGACCTTGGGGGAGGTTTGAAGCGGGGAGGGGAGAGGCAGGGAGGTGAGCAGAGAAAAATGTACAGCTCAATAAATATCAATTAAAATGTATAAAAATACTTTGATGTAATGTAATGTTGGCATAGCTTATATTTACTCATAATAAAAACCAATGAAATTAAAAAAAAAAGTTGAGTCAAGCCAACTGGAGATGTGGCTCAGTGGTAGAGCT